GCCTATATGGCTGCGAATAGGTTCCGGACCATCGCACTACATTGACCTGGTTTCGATACCAAAATTTGAAGATCCTAGTTACTTCTTCAGGCAGTCCAGTATCTTTCAATTTCTGCCATAGGATATCATAATTCACCAGATCGAATGCCTTGCTAAGGTCCAGAAAACAGGCATAAATAGGCGTTCGTCTAACCGAATAGTACTTCACAGTTTGCTTCAAACATAATATGGCCGACTCTGTTAAAAACCTGGCCTGAAGCCAAACTGATTTTCGTGTATGCATAAGTGTTTATCAAGCTGGGCATTAAGCAAACTGTCAAGAACTTTCGCAACAATCGTGGCAAGTGAGATAGGCCTATAGTTGGACTTATCAGATATGTCCCCAGTTTTGTTTTTTACAATTGGCACCAGTTCTCATCAGAGCCGCGGGCAAGTACGAATGTTCTATACATAAGTTATAAAACATGGCAAGTACTCTAGGTAAGTGAGGACCCGCATGCCTTAGGTGTTCAATACTAAGTTTGTCGTGGCCAGGAGACTTGCCACGCGACATAGAAGCTATAGCCTTATTGACATCCTTCGCTGTAAATCGGATTCCAATCTCCTGGCCACACGTACCCCAATCTCCTATGGCCTGCGATGGCCCCAACGGTGAAGTCACTGTAAAATGCTCTCTAAACATATCTGCTATAAGACCATGATCATTAGTACCATTAACGCTCACTGGTAGGCCAGGTTTACTATTTAAATTATTGGTCGATTTCCAAAAATTTGGAAAATCATTTTTCACGTGCTGAGTAGCCAAGGTGTCCATTTTTATTTGTTCACTGTGGTTCTGACACCACTTTAAGCGCGACTTAAACAAACTACGACTCCCGTGCATTTCCTCATAGACACTACCATTTTTTGGCTTTCCCCACCAAACCTTCGACCATAAAAACTTCGACCTGGCCTCCCTGTGGGCATCGCGTACAAATGGGGAATTTTTATAGGGAAATCAATTTGTCGGATCTATTCATATTTCAGCACTAACATTGTCGACAATGGTACGAGTACGTTAAAATGTTTAAGGAATATTTCTTTGGCAATAAATTATGTTAAAAAAGCCTCCAGAAACACTTAGTTGGGGTGGCTTGATCAACTATAAGTGACACGCCACCAGGAAATAAAATACTAGTGAAGTGTTGCGTTGCTGTTGAATATTTTATGCTGGGAATTATTCGAAATAAATACTTGACATAAATTTAACCTAAGTAGCTACTGCAGCCAGCTTCAGACTGTCCTTACTTTATCCTGAACATAGAAATCGGTGCATTGCTATTTATGCAAATGATTATAAATCCGATTTTACATACTGAAATCGATTACAAAATTTATTTTTAGAATTCGTTTTCAGTAGCAGCTTTTTTTTAATAGGATAAGGACACAGTCCACCTGATGGTAATTGGTTGCTGTGGCCCATAGACATCCACATCTATCCTCGATTACGAAATGCAGATGAGTTGTCACCAGTGAGGACTAAGATGGAATGCCTTGTTTCCAGTACAAAGGGTCTTCGGTTCTCTACACTCACCAAACAAAACACAGCAGCGTTAAGCTGCTATTTTACGGTGATATTCTGTGAGAGCGTGGTCCTTTCTGACACATTCTGCCACAATTAACCAGTAATATAGCTGCAGCATGGCTCTATCACGTAAAAAAAAAGTATAAGTAAAGCTTGGCATAAACTTTGCTATAATAAGTTTCGATCGATAGTCCAGTTTTGGTTTTAAGAAAGAAGTAATTTTTAGATGTGCTAGATGAGTTGCATAATCTATAAAATAGGTGCTTAATTAGTTGTCGTATCTAGGCTTAGGACTAACAGAGAAGTTTTTTTAAAGATTTGACTATTTACAACCCTTTCGGAGTTGAGTCTTAGGCTAGTCTATAAACTTGGTAGAGCCATGCTGCAGCTATATTAGTAGTATAGTTGTTGTGTGTCGGCTCGACCGGTGAAGGACCACGCTCTCACTACCAGCGTAAAATGGCAGCTTGACACTGCTGTGTTTCGTATGGTGATTGTAGAGAACCGGAGACTCATTTTACTGGAAAAGACTGAAAAGAGGCATTTCATCTTAGTCCTCACGGGTGACGACGCATCTGCATTTTAATACTTTATTGCGGACAAATGTAGATGTCTATGGGTCACAGCAACCACTTAGAATCAGGTGGACTGTGTGCTCGTTTGTCATGCTATCACATAAAAAAAGGCAGAAAGATAGCCCTGACTTAAAAGTTATCACTTATAAAACTGAATTCGTTCGTCCACCTGATGGTACGTAGCTAGTGTAGTCCATGGACACCTGCTGTAAACTTTAAATAAGGGAGGCTGCAGATGTGTTCTCACCCCTGAGCACTACGATGGTATGCCTGTCATTATTCTGACTTTCTTTACCCGGAACATAGCATTGTAAGCGAGGCGTTTTGGCGGTAGAAATACGTAAGAGAGAAGAGGGTGGTATCTACTACAGACCGACTTCAAAGAAAAAGAGTCCCGATTAGAACAGATTAGATAATAGTTATTAATTAATTTATTTATTTATTTATATACTCTTTATTTTTTTATTTTTTTTTATAGAATAGGGGTGATAAACGAGCACACAGTCCACCTGATGGTAAGCGGCTGCTGTGGCCCACAGACATCTACATATATCTTCGTTTGCGAACCAAAATGTAGATGCGTTGTCAGCCGTGAGGACTAAGATGGATTGCCTCTTTTCCAGTAAAAAGGGTCTTCGGTTCTCTACACTCACCATTCGAAACACAGCAGCATTAAGCTACTATTTCACGCTGGTACTCTGTGAGAGCGTGGTCCTTCCCCGGTCGAGCCGACCCATTCGCGCTACAACTATACTATTAATATAGCTGCAGCATGGCTCTACCACTTACATTATTGTACACTAAAATACAAAATAACGAGTACAGTTAAATCTAAAGTAGAATATGTACAACAGGCGGTCTTATCACTCTGAAAGTGATCTCTTCCAGACAACCTTAGTGTAGAGAACTGATGAAAACAATAGTTAAAAATAGAGGGGGGCGTTCAAAATAAAAATAAAAATAAAAATAAAAATAAAAATATGAAAATAAGGTACGTGAGGGTAATATGGTCACTTTAAGCTTTGCCGCCTTATAAAACCAAAATTAGGTGGAGGACAGAGACAAATACACAATATCGTATACTATAACTAATATAGAAAAAAATAACAAACAAGCCTTGGCAATATTTAGCAACACTTCGAAAAATCAAAAAACTAACTATAGTACGTGAGGGTAATATGATCATACGGTTAGTATGGTTACTTTCTTATAATTCAAAAATTACAGCGTTTGCATAGAACGCTTTGTGATACGATAGCTCTTAACCAGTCTATCAAATAATAAAGGGTCAAAAAGGCGCTCCTTTATCCATTTTGACAGTTGATATTATTGTAAATATTTTAGTCGATTTTTGTATTGTGTAGTGTAGTTAGTTTTTTTTAAGTTGATTTTTCGAAGTGTTCCTAATTATTTCAAAAGCTTGTTTGCTTTTTTTTCTAAATATATTAGTTATATTATACGACTTTCTGATTTTGTGTCTGTTCTCCTCCTAATTTTAGTTTTATAGGGCGATAAAGCTTAAGGTGACCATATTACCCTCACGTACTTACTATAACATCAACATCAACAACAAAAACCAATGTGCTCTTAAATGGGGAGGAGTTGAGTCTTGTGGATACCACTGTTTTTCTCGGTATTACTATTGACGCGAAACTTTAATGGGGCCCCCATATATCTAAATTAGCAAGCAGACTTAGTTCTGCAGCATATGCTGTAAGAAATATTAGAAGTCTCACAGATGTTGAGACAGCTAGGTTAGCGTATTTTAGTTACTTTCATAGCGTAATGTCTTATGGAATTTTGCTATGGGGTTTAATGCGACTGATATTGAAGCTATATTTGTTTTGCAAAAGAGAGCCGTATGGGCGATTTATAATCTAAATTGTAAAGAGTCCCTCAAAGAAAAATTTAAATAAATAAACATACATACATAAACGCAATATATTTATGAAAATGTAATGTATGTACATAAAAACTTAAATAGCTTTAATAAGAATAAGGATGTTCATACCTTAAACACTAGGAACAAACATAAGCTTGTATTGCCAGTTACTAGACTCCACAGAATTAGTAATTCATTTACGGGGCAATGTATACGCTTTTACAACAAAATCCCAGAACATGTTCAAAGTTTGTCAATAAACAAGTTTAAAAGTTTTATTAAAGAAAAACTGTACAAAAAGGGTTATTATAATATCAAGGAATACATGAATGAAAATAACCCCTGGGAATAAGGTGATCGCCACTATGCTGGTTCTATGAAAATTCATTTAAAATTGTATAAACAAAATTATTGTTAAGTGAAATTATGTTTAAAAAAAGTCCCGCTGGGTTTCTTGCTGGTTCTTCCCAGGACAGAGGTATTTTCCGAATCAGTGGTAAATAAAATAATGACTTTCAATAAGTATTATGTAATAATCCATATTGAATAAAAATCATTCTATTCTATTCTATTCTATTGTCAAAATGGCGTCGATAAAGCGGCGGCCTTTTGACCTTTTATTATTTGATTGACTGATGAAGAGCTATCGTATCACAAAGCCATCTATGCAAATTAGGCTGTAGTTTTTGAGTTATAAGAAAGTGACCATATTAACCGGATGACCATACTACCCTCACGTACTCTACATATAAATAGAGATAAGTGAAGATTATGTATGATATCATATAATAGATTAAATGAAGAGAGTACGAAAAAGGAAAAGTGATTTATCTAATATAATAGTTACTACATAACTTAGCATTCAAGCTCGATAAACGATAGTTGCGACCAAGGATACTCAGAGAATTTATAAGTAAAACCGTATGCATGGAAAATTACTTTAAAATGTATTTGATATAAAATTTATTTTTATTTTCAGATTCTCTGTCGGTACACTATTGTAACCGTGAAGTGCAAGTGGCCGTGTCTGGACCGGACAGTGAAGGTTACATCCGGACGCCCGGATATCCGCACTACTACGTGGGGGACGAATGCCGATGGAGGTTGAAGGCTAATCCAGAACAGCGCATCCGGGTATCATTGCTGGATGTTAGTTTAAGAAGTAAGTGTGCATGCAGCTTGTTTATAACAATGAATGTTAAATTTTTAGAACAGTAAAACACACACGTAGCGAGAAAGAAGTCCTCCTATTTCTGACAGGATAATGTAGTAGTCTGTCAGGTGGCTCCAATTGAATTTGGCGGATTTAATTTTGCAGATTTCTTTATCCTTTAAAAGTAACTTTTCAGATGATGGCAACTACTTCTTTGATCTTGCGTCGCATAATAACCTCACATATATGTAAATTCAAATACAGAAGAGTTTGTAAGAGATATAAAACATTATAATAATTGTACACATAGGTACTAATATTATATAACTAGTTTGGTTCCGTAAATCGCAGATATGTATGAAGCATACACATTACTTGTTTTAGAATCTGAATGAATTTAGACTGACCTGTGTCAGGGTCTAAGACATTATTTTCTGATGCTGCACCATTTGAAAAAGCCTCACATTGAAAACTAGAGTGAGAGTAAGTAAACAGTATGTTCATATTTTTTAATTTAATTTTTTTTAGGTATCGGACCTTTTGAAGAACAATGCACTGATTACGTGTCGGTGGTAGACTCGAATGGCGAGTCACTGCTCTCCACTTGTGAACAAGTGGAATTACCTCATCGGTTAATATCTTTAACGGATACCATAGAGGTTGTAGTAGAAGCAAAATCACAAGGAGCCTACCCAAAAAGAGGGGTTTTACTTCATTATAAAAGTAAGGCACAGAAAATTTAAAAATATCTTTTTCAAAAAGTGTACGATATTATAATAAACAAAACAATTTATTTTTATTCTTCAGCCCATTAAAATTATAACAGTTCTTTCAAATAGATAAATTAAGCTGCCGCGTTTTGAAAAGGCCGCCCAACTCTGGACATACAAGTGTTGTTTGTTGATGGTGATGATTTTGCCAATTCAGTAATTCTTTCTTATGCAAAAAAGTTAGATATTACTTTTTTAACATAACAAATATTATTTATAACAAGTATTAAATGTAGTTTTATTATCTACTAATTACAAATTTAATTATTTCACTTCCACATCAAGCGCCCTCTATATTATTTTGTTATTAATGGCGCCATCTACTGTGTATCACATATTTAAATTGTTTCTGTGATGAGATATTTGAAAGTCTTGCTATTGTTTGCTAGATGGCGCTTGTTAATAATTTGTCATTTTGAAATAAATGCAATTTTACGATATATAAATTTAGATTTTTATAAAGTATAGTTTAATATAAATAAAAGATAAATTAAAAAGCCCAAAATATAAGATAATGATATAGTTAATAATTTTCAGGTATGGGATGTGTGACCTTACCACCGCCATCTGACGGATATCTTGTGTACCGTAACGAAGACGTCGCTCATTACATGTGTAATGTTAATTTTGTATTTTCTAATACGCGACAGAGGGCGCTAATGCTTTGGTGCTATGAAGATAATAGATGGAATGGTACCATACCTTTATGTATAGGTAAGTTAGATGGAAATTAATTGTTCAATAAGTTAATATTATAAATTTGGAATATTATGTTATCTTCATTGCATGTCGTTGTGTGCATTTTTGCAAAGAATATATCCGACAGAGGTTCTAGGTTCAAAGCTGATAGAGAAAAATGATGTTACTAATATCTTACTTAATACCACACACTTGAAAGGGTTTCGTAATGGCTAACTTAATGTAACTAATAATGTATCATATCATAACTAGATGTAGTAAATGTGTAGGCATTTCATGAATTTCACCTTCTACGTATCCAATGACGTCAAAAAATGCACAACATCATTTCTATCGATACTAGACTTTATTAAAAAGTTAATCTATTAAAACTATTATAATTTATTAAAAAACTAAGTTAAAAATATAACTACTTCAGTAATTACACATATTCCTTCATACTAAACTATATTAGCTGACTGTTTTCTTATCGTTTTGGATTCCGACATAACCTTTCCGTGGCCCCAGCAGAAAAACGTATCCTACCTTTCGCTGCTGTGGAGGATTTCTCCACGATAAAAAAATGCATTACAGTAACCACTGGCCATAAGGTTGTTGGTTAGCTCATTTGTTACTATAATATAATCATATAATAATATCTATATAATCTTTAAGGATGGTTGCGTGTTTAGTCAGAATGATCCTTGGTGATTTTGACGGTGCGGTGCGGTGATACAATTCTTGGTTTCATTATGCCGGACCTAAAGAAGAACAGAATAGAATATTATGTAGGTTAGGTTTATATTTCTTCTTTTTACGCTGGTACAGCACTGTACTTGGCTGATAAAGGTACTCTCGATCTCGTAAAGGTTCGAGTTGGCTTCAGAAGTTGCTATTATTGAGTTCGGGTATTTCATGGAGTCCGATTACGCATATACAAACATTCCAATATGTATTTGAAATGTCGGTTTATATAATGCACTGTATTTCTTGGTTGATTACTTCGTCATCACCACATTTTAATACATCTGGGAGTTTTACGGCCCCCACGTCCGCATGTTAATGAGGGCTAATAATTTTCTGCTCACCAGATGTCGCTAGTTGACAATAAGATAAAGTGTTTGGTTACGCAATGTAATTTAATTGAGAAGTTGTTTTTTAATAAAAGTTTATCAGTTTCTAGAGTATTATATTAATACACAAAACAATGCGTTAGTGGTTTGCTCTTTAAGTTTTAACACATTATTAACTTTTTTTTTAAATGTTCTACTCTAATGAATATCTGTGGTTTGGTTTATTTATTTTTAATGTTGTTAATATAAAATATAGCTAATAGTACAAAAAGAAGCAATAACTTTTACATTTTCCCCACAAATTAACTTCCCCACTATAAAATCTGTCAAATATTATACCTCACTTTCTAGTGGCGCCGCCCTAGTGTTAGAAAAGTCGTGGATGCTCTCATTCACAACATGTAGAACCACATCCCCACGTTGACGTATTGTAAAAGTCGAATCGCCCCAATTCTTCCTAATAAGTGTCGTAAGACGTAACTAAGGCCCGTATTAATAAACGTTACGCAACGACGAACTCAAGTGCGTAATCATTTGATACGCCCTCATTACGATATCAGCATCTCAAGACCGTTGCTAATTAATAAACACATAAGAACAGTATCTCAAAACGATGTACTTAGGAATACTGTTCTGTGACTTGCAGTCAAGTACCCACACTTGAGAGACGAGTTTCGTTTATTAATCAGTGTGGCACTCAGCTGATATCGTAAACCTAAACCGTATCTTGAGATATTATGGTAAAATAGCAGCGTACAGCTGTGAATTGTATGTTGAGTGTAGAGAACCGAAGGTGCTTTTTACTGGAAACGAGGCATTCTATCTTAGTCTTCGGGAAATTGACACTGCATCTGCATTTATATGTCTATGGGCCACAGTATCCACTTATATCAAGTTTTTTTTATAGGATAAGGGTGACAAACGAGCACACAGTCCACCTGATGGTAAGTGGTTGCTGCGGCCCATAGACATCTACATCTATCCTCTGTTACAAATCAAAATGTAGATGCGTTGTCACCCATGAGGACTAAGATGGAATGCCTACTTTCCAGTAAAAAGGGCCTCCGGCCACCTGCACTCACCAAGCGAAACGCAGAGGTAAACCTCTACTTCACGCTGGTTTTCTATGAGGTCGTGGTACTACCCCGGTTCGAGCCGGCCTATCCGTGCGGCAGCAAAAGCTGCCGCGTGGCTCTACCACTGTTAAAGTGGACCGTGTGCCCGTTTCTCATCCTTATACTACAGAATATAAAATACCTTTACGGGATAGAGCCATGCTACAGCTATATAAGTAGTATAATTGTAACACGAATGGGTCGGTTTGACCGACAAGAAGCATCTTAACGTTGTGTTTCGTATGGTGAATGTAGAGTAGAGAACCCGAGACCCTTTTACTGGTAACGAGGCATTCCATCTTAGTCCTTAGGGTTGACAACGCATCTCACATTTTCATTCTTAATTGAAGATACAATTGTAGATGTCTATGGGCCACAGTATGCATGTACACCAGGTGGACTGTATGCTCGTTTGTCACCGTTATTCCATAATTTTTTTTTATATCGCACTGCAACACACAACAAATTGGTAATTATTGGGTAATTATTATTGATGAATTGGGTTATAAAGAGTATAGAAAATTAAGTCGAGCTGCCGAGTAAGTACTGAATAATTAAAATGTTAGGCTCGTTTCTACATTTACTGTTCATTCATTATTAATGTTTCCTTTATATGTTTCCTTATATAGCAGGAAAAAGGCTAGAAACAATCTAAGTAAAGAATTTATTACATTAGTTGTTAAAACGGCCGTCGTAATCGGTAGTTTATCGACAAAATTGGCAATATATTGAAGACGAACCAAATTAAGGTTGCTCTTAACAGACGAGTATTTACGCGTAGATATATTATATTATGGATGTGAAAGAACGAGAGAGGAAGAGCGGTTTCATAAATGGAAGTCTGTAATTTCTGCCTACCCATTTGAGTTATAGCCGTGAGAGTTTATGTATTAAAAATAAGACAAAAAGCATAAAGACTAATTTTATTTTTCATGGATGATGTTCATATATTTTTTATAGGGGCATTTTGCCATAGTTGCCACATTTGGCAGGCGGGTTACCATTGCAATGGAAATGTATGATCATTGGTACAAAACTCCTAGTTTTATTAAAAGCATAAAGCTGTAGGCGCAGGCCTATCTTTCGCGATTGAGTCATAACCATGGGCTCCATTATTACTATTGTTATAGGTAATGAGCCCATGAAAGTAGAATGTGAATTGGCTGTCCTGTTGTAGGAACGATTTACCGTAATCGCCACGTTTGGCTTGGGTATTTAACAGTTAACATAAACGTTACTTATTGATGGCCGTAAGCGGGTTCTCATTTAACAAAGTCCTTACTTGTTGTTCATAAGTAGAGTTGCAAATCGTTAGTTTTGAACATATCTAGCCTTTTGAGGTGTCCAAGGGAGTTCTGGATAGTATAGATAAGGAAATTGGTGGAGATGAAAAATATAAAATGAAATATCTATATTTTTAGGGTTCCGTAGCCAAATGGCAAAAAACGGAACCCTTATAGATTCGTCATGTCTGTCTGTCTGTCTGTCCGTCCGTATGTCACAGCCATTTTTCTCCGAAACTATAAGAACTATGCTGTTGAAACTTGGTTAGTAGATGTATTCTGTGAACCGCATTAAGAATTTCACACAAAAATAGAAAAAAAAAACACTAAACTAACCTTTGGGGGTTCCCCATACTTAGAACTGAAACTCAAAAATTTTTTTTTCATCAAACCCATACGCGTGTGATTTATCTATGGATAGGTCTTCAAAAATTATATTGAGGTTTCTCATAACATTTCTTTCTAAACTGAATAGTTTGCGCGGGAGACACTTCCAAAGTGGTAAAATGTGTGTCCCCCCCATGTAACTTCTAAAATAAGAGAATGATAAAACTAAAAAAAAATATATGATGTACATTACCATGTAAGCTTCCACCGAAAATTGGTTTGAACGAGATCTAGTAAGTATTTTTTTAATACATCATAAATCGTAAATTATGTTACTTGGTGCTACGGAACCCTTTATGGGCGAGCCCGACTTGCACTTGGCCGCTTTTTTTTCAATATTTTCAACCTAATTAACCTAAATTACATAATTCATTCCATTTCATTTCTTATATAATCATTTAATTGTTGATATTTTCATTTATTTATTATTAATATATCATTTAATTAAATAACATTAATTTAATTGTTACTAATTTTTTTCTGCTTTTTTTTTAAGAGAAACGTTACCCCTACACTAGGATTTTCTTCTATATCGTGGAGACAGTTTACAAACACAAATTGCACAAGGACAAACATCCAGACTCTGAACAATTATTTGTAGGCCATACAAATACTTGTTCCGTGCGGGATTCGAACCCGCGGCCCCCAGCGCAGCAACTCTTTGCTAAGCCACTGCGCCACGGAGTCGTCAAAAAATATACTTACACTTTTAATTAGAACTCTTCTGCTCTTATACTGCGTCTTATTTTAAACCCAAATGTCCTGGTGTGGTGTTCCACCTTCAAACCCTGGTTTTCAAAATTGAGTGATGGCTAACCTATACAAAGGATATCAATTAGTTTTAACTGTTTTCTATTCTATTCTATTATCTTTGATGGTAAATTTGATAAAATAAAATACAAAAATACAATAATTATATTTCTAAAAATCTATGTTTATACGTAAAAAATAAAACAATAAAAATAAAAATTAAAACGTGTACGTGAAAGTTTGAGGTTACTCTCCACGATTATTCATTATTCCACTATTATTTTACACACGCATGCGCAATATGCGCGGTCCTTGTTTGTCTCTTTCTCACGACTGGAACATCTCTGTGAATAAGTGTAATGGCACGATGTTTGTCGGTTTCTGAATGAGTATTTGCATACCCTTTTACGTACAGTAAAAAAATACTT